TCTGCAAAATGAATTATTTAAATTTGTATTGCTTTTGCTTCAAAAATGGATGATACATGCAATTTATGATTTCATGAAAGGACCAAAAGGAATCTTGTTTGCAATTTAATTATTTAATTTAAAAAAAGATTTAAATCATTTGGAATATGTGCAAGTGCATGTAATTATTATGAAGAGATTCTGAATTAAAATGTCACATAACAAATTAGAATATGTTATGTACTTCTAACGAATGTGATTTTCTTTATTTAGGAGCCATGCTTTGAATCCTAAGAAGAAGAGGACTGCCTTCACAACTATGATTAATTAAAAATAAACAATATATATAAATTTTACCTATTTTTTATTTTATTTTCCTTTTGGATAGTTTTCAATAAAAATAAACCTATTTTTGTTTCTATATTCTGTGTATTGGAATAAAGAGTTCCCCCCCAGTGTTCACTGATATGCATGTAAAAGAATTGTGTGCAAAATAAATCAATTTTTGTTTGTCACATTCATTTTTCACAGTGTGTACAGTTTCAAGATCTACAATGGAAGATTCATTGTAGCATTTGGATAAGTCTTTATTTTTTCTGTGTATTTAAATATAAGATCTGGTTTTGTATATATCAACATTTTTCCATACCTTTTTCTTATTTAATTTATAAAAACGTTAAAATATATAAAATCAAAATAAGTGTATATCTATTTTCAAGTTGGGTAAGGAGGAGAGGCATGATCTAGCAAAGGTAAAATGGTTGAGAACCACTAATATATGGTATTAAAAGTATTTTCATTTCTGCATTAAATTGCTGGAACCAAATAGATCTTTTATATTATCTTTAATAGTTTTTGTCAACTAAATCTAATCTTGCAAAATGTAGTTATGCATAACGAAATTCATTATTATGAATTATATTGACTATTAATTATAGATCTTCACGCTAGCTGTATATGTTAGGAGTGAAATACATTCCAATACCCAATATTTTTTTAAATAAAATATATGATTATGGAATATTACATTAAAATGAAATGGTTCTTTATGTAACCTGTATGTTACACTAAAAGGCTTCATCGAATACTTGTAAAGTAATGAGCAAATACTAAGTTAATATCTTGTGTGAATGAATATTATCTTACAGAATTTTTATTCCATAAAATCTATTTAAAAATATAATTTTTGTTGAATGAAGATTTAAACATTTTTCCCGAAGATTTAAAAAGTGGTTTGAAATAATAACAAAAACATTAATCTGAAGCATTTAATAAATGAATAAAAAATTTTGAGAACAATTAAATCATTCACAGGAATTTTGAAATAATCATCGTATTTTTGACATCAATTAAAGGAAGAAAATCTGAGTCATTTTGATTATAGTGATAAATTAGTTCCATTAATAGTAGGATAGAAAATTAAAACTTTAAGGAGCCATTATGCATTATCAATTTTTCATTAAAAATCGTTAGTTTATTACTACTATCATATCAATTATTAATGCTGAATTCTTTATCTTCAGTTTTTACATTCTTAAGTCTACTTTTCTCAATTTTCTAGGCATAGCAGAGAAAAATATAATTATAGGATCAAGGCATTTCCAAATATGTTATATTTTCTTCCTTAAAATTTTAAGATCATTCTATATTCATCATGTATTATAGACACAGTATCAAGGGATTCTGTTAAATTTTTCAGTTAGAATTTGAGACGAAGTTGTGAAGTCATACCTACAGAATGCTTGAATTGATTATTTGAAATATGACAAGAAAGAGAGGGCCATCTGTCCAAGGAAAGGAATTTTTAAGGAAAACTTCATGTTACACAAACATTTACACAGGCAGCCCATTCTCTAGGATTTAAATCTATAGCCAAATGCTAGGGTTCATCTTACTGTCTGCCTGTCTGTAGGCAATAAATGTTTTAGTAGAAGGAATACTTGAAAAATTAAATTTAGGACTAACTAATTCTTCAATTTTGTATTCAATGAGAAGAATGTAATTTATTAATAAAGTTTTAAATCTGGGAAAATGCCTGTACAACTGTCCGATTAATTAATCTATTATTTAAATTAATGGTTAGCAGCAGAAGAGATTAAAAAGCATTTATGCCTAAAATAATTATATGTTGTAATTTAAATGAATAATGCAATTAAGAATGAAAATAATTTTGGATAGCTTGTGATAACTGAATTTAAGTTCATTGTTGAGTTATATCTGTAATTTTTTTTTAGAATTTGAAAAAAATATTTAGAATTGTTTATTGAAACAATTTCATTAAAATATTTTTTTACTGTAATCATATCCAATTGCAGTCTCTTTAGATTACACTGTTGGGTATAAGGATAATGATTTGGTTTAGTTTATTTAAGTATGGCAAAGCACACTAGGACTATCTGCCTAAGCTGAGAAATGCCTTTGTGGAGGGCTTTCGAAGGGAAACTGGCTTACATACATGTTACACATGGAGAAAACCATGAAAATACCCATACAACCAGCCCATTCGCGGGATTTGAACCTCGGACCGAACTACCAGTGTTCAGCGGAGGAATTCTAGAACATTACTAATTTATTGCCAAAAAACCATTAAGTCTAATATACAAGTTTTTTTCCAGCTATTTCATGATGCATATGTAACTTTGAGATGTCTTTAAATTCAATACAGGAAAGTAATGCAGATGTAAGAAAAACAAAATTTAAGCTTCTTTTTAACATTGGGAATATTTTGAAAGAAAATGTTGTATATCTTTTAGAAAATCTAAGGTATTTTTCCTTAAAAAAAACTTAATAATATTTAAAGTTACATAACTTCCCTTTCACCACAAATAAATAAATGTAGCATATTTTGTTACAAGCAGTAGCTGTAGACATTTCACATAAGACGTATGTTCTATATGTGTAATTATTTATAGTAATATTACAATCAAAATATTTAATATTTGAGAATACATCATTTTTGTATTTTATATAAGACAAATATGTTCTATATGCATAATTATTTGGAAGAACTTTTAAGTAAATTATCTGCAACTTTCACATATATATCCTTTAAAATTTCACATGAAAATACATGTTCTTACATAATCATTTGCAATAACCTTACAAGCAGAACACTAATAATCTACAAATATTCCCTTTAGTAATTCACATACAAAAATTACGATCTACTTACACTATTATTTCCTGTAATCTTTACAGATGTTTACATTGGTAAATCACATATGAAAACCATGTTATACTTACACGATAATATCCTGTAACATTACAGATCTTTGATCTGTAACCTTTACAGACATATGCTTCGGTAATCAACATACAAAAACTTTGTTATGCCTACAGAATATCTTCCTGTAACATTACATGTCAAACATCTGTAACCATTACAGGTATAATCTCTGTAAAGTTACAAAGAATATTCCTGTTTTGATTACTCAAATAATACATGGCATCCCAGTTTCCACGACTTTTCTTAGTAACTTTACAGATTTTTTTTTTACAGTGCAGTAGCCACACTGAGACAAATGCACCAATATTCCACCAAGAGGTAGGTTTTGAAGATGACTTCAAACTACCGAAGATATTCGAAAGCGTTAAGTTACCTGGTCGGTGCATGAGTTGGTGCCGTTCTTCTTTGGTTCCATTTTTACCACGCTATGATTTTATTATTATTAAATGAATTACAATACGGTACAAAACATACAACACACAATAAGAAGACATTGATACGCTACGTCACAAATCAATAATCACTCATTCATTTATTATCTGATGTTATAAGGTATTTTTTGCTTTCTTTCTGCATGCATTCATGGTATGACGTAGCACTCTCGGCGCGTATTCGAGAGGTCCAAGTCGAATGCCGGGAACGCATTGCTCATTTTTCATGTCTCCTGTTTCAAAAATACCTAATGACTCTACAATGTAATCACCATCTTTGGTAATGACAGCCAGCCAGCGTTCAGGTAAAAGTTCAATGCCTCTACTGTAGAGTGTTTTTCTACTTCATTATATTTGGTAAGGCCTAGAAACGCGCTATATTACTCACATCGTGAAAATTGATTTGCTATGGAAGTGAAGAATTCCTCTTCTGGTGAGGTATCATCTTAGGGTCATCTACAATTTTGCATGCACTTGGCATAGCCATAGTGACATCTATCATAGGTATAATGAATACACTAGCATAGGTATAGTGAATTCTCGTTTGGACTAGTTTTCCCGTTTACTGAGATCAAATTCCATTGACCATGGATTGGATTTCAGTATTATGGAACGTCTTGGATGCCGAGATGCCACTCATAATCATCCACAATGAAACACTGAAGAGTGTTTGGTTAAGAATGTGATTTCTTATCCCAGATACTGTAGACATATTCAAGATATTCAAGCCCTGCATTAAAATTTATCTTTACCACCAGAATGATTTCTCATAACACAAATAGCTAATGCTGTATACCTTTTGCAGAATTCTTTTGTATTTTAGTGTTAAAATTATCTTTAAGAGAACCCTCTCTAAGATTTGTGACCATTGCGTTACGTCATCCACGCGGCAGACAAATATAGATATTGCAGAGATTTTTAATATATGGTCCGTACAGTCTGGCAAATAGCCAGCTTCTACAATTCGAAGTGACGTAAGATTGCTATTTAAAAAAAGGAACTGCACAACCAACTGGAAAATTTAAAAGCAACAAAGACCTTCTTGATAATTTATATTTCAATTTAAATTTATGTTTCTTGCAATAGCAATACTTGCCAGGTGGTGTTGGTAATAACTGGCTTGGTAGAGTAACGTAATGTAGCATTCCAAATATGATGAAAGCGTTGCATGAATGCAGAAAAGAACTACATAAAAATGAATTTGAGTTAAATCAGATAAAGTTTCATACTTTGGCCCTATCTGGATTAATTTTTATCAGCTTTGCATTTCACTGCAGTATCTCCAAGTTTTAAAACAAATCAAATAGTTTTAATTTTTAACAAATAATTTTTATTTTACTTTGCAATTTCATAAAACCAGTTACCTGAGATGGTGAATAGGGCGGCGATAGCTAAAAGAGTAAGCACAGATCCGTACAGGTCAAGTTTAACTGACTGGTTGATAAAAATGCCTCCAGCATATAAATCGGCCTATAAAATACATCAATGAAAAAAAATTCAATCAAAAAAGTTTATTTCAAGTAAGTTTTAAAAATCAGTTTAAAATAAGACCCTAGAAACGTTAAAACATTCACAAAGTAGTTACTATTAAATTGAATTACTTGATAGAAAATAAATAATAAATAGAGAAATAAATAATGATGTGAGAAGCAGTTTATAAAAATCTAACATTAGTTTACAACAACGTAATTAAATGTGTTTTAAAAATTGTCATCTTTTCTAAGACTTGTTTGGTAAGTTATCTTCTTCTTAGTTAATAATATTCTAATTTTTTTTCTTAAATAAATTTCTGAAGTTTTTTAAATCCGAAAGCTAGTAGGCCTGAAAGGTCTAGAAAGTTACAATGAGTAAATAAAGGGCTTTTAATCCTTATTTATAATGAATAGAAAATTTTTAGAAATATTTCTAATAAGAAGTTTTATTGCATTAGTAACATATATCTTTTTTAATTCCTTCATTACTTTATAAATTACTTCAGTTTATGTGATAAATGAAATGGTAATTATTAAATTGAGGCAGAACGTATACCCATCTGAAAAATATGAAAAGGATTTTAGTTCTTATAGTTACATTGAAAAAATGTGTTACACAAAATAAAAACCGGGAGAAAAACAGAAAATAAGGAAAAAAATTCTTAAATTTCAATATATCTATATATATATATATATATATATATATACATATATATTTTACATTAAAAAAGGCAAATTTACACTGACGAGCCAAAATATTATGACCATCTCCACATTTTTCAGTGAACTTGTCTGGATGACGTGGAGGACACGTTATTAGGTGGAAATGGTATTTAACTGCTGTTGGAGGTAAGGAATCGTTCTTGCACTTTTGCGAATGATGGGGAAGCCGCTGATCTAAGGGAATTTGACACAGGGCATATTGTAATGGCCCGAAGCCTCGAAACTTGTATCTCCGAAACTGCAAGACTGGTAGGTTCACGATCAGCTGTTGATAGTATTTTTACAAAGTGGATTAATGACGGCGAAACCAGCAGTAGCATTACTTTATAAATTAACTTTAACGCTTAAGACTCCAAGGTGTTGGACGTCTAAGTGCCATCAAAGGAAATCGCCGTCGGAGATCGTTCCGCTTGGTACAGCAGAATCGTCGCCAGACAGTGGCTCAGCTGACAGACAGGGACTGTGCAGCAGACGTCCCACTCGTGTGCCTCTGTTGACTAAGCGACATTGTCAACTTCACCTACAGTGGTTCCAGGATTATAGAGACTGGAACATAGATAAGTGGAAGACAGTTGCTTGGTCGGATGAATTACGATTTCCCATTCATCACTTCGATGATCGTGTCAGGGTACGTCGTTATGCAGGAGAGCATTTGCTCCATCCCTGTACAGTAGGTCATACATAGAGCGGTAGCGGCGGCGTTATGTTTTGGAGGGACGTTCTCATGAGAGGCTCTGAGACTCTTGTTGTGGTAGAACAGGCCATGAAAGCTGCGGACGATCTGAAAATAATTGAGGATCAGTTGCACCCTTACATGGCGTCTGTCTTGACTTTCCGAGTGGAAATGGGATCTTCCAGCAGGACAACGCCCTATGTCACAAGACTCGAACTGTGCTGGAGTGGTTCGAAGAGCATAAGAATGAGTTCTAATTAATGTCATGGCAACCTAACTTGACGGATCTTAACCCGATAGAATACATTTGGGATGTCATGGAGGGGACAGCTCAGACACTTCCATGTCATGGAGCCCAAACACTTCCATGTCGAAATATCTCGAATTTGCATGACCGTTGCTTAGACATTTGGTACATCCCAGTCATCTACCAAGAACCTGTGGCATCCATGCCGAAGCGAATTGCAGCAGTTTTGTAGCCAAAGGTGGCGCAACGCATATTGAGTAGGTGGTCATAATGGTTTGGCTCTTCAGTACAGTTTTTTATTCAGAAATTTAAAATCACAAAAATTTGTTAAAATAGTGAAACACAGAATTAAAAACTTACTTTTATGGGCAGAAATGGAATTATATTATAAAATAAACTAGTCGTGTTCAACAATACTTTTTCTGCATCTAAAAATTTATAAATAATTTACTTCTTCCTTACCGCGTTGCTTCGTGATTTAATTGGAAAACATGTCCAACTAAAAACTGGAAATTTTGCAGTTTGAATCCCGGTGAAGGGATCGTTAAGTTTTCATGTTTTCTTGCTTCGAAGTTAATCTAATAACTTTACACACATTACAAAAACATTTACAAAAAGCTATTTTAATTATTTTCAGTATCATATTCATGCTGTTTGATACAAATATTCTAAGAAAAATATATTTAGCGAAAAAAATAATTGAGCAAAAGTATTAGGTAATATTACGTATTCTATCATTATTAATTACATAAAATGAAAGCAATTTTTAACGCACTATCCTCATCTTCGAAACGCTTTTGAGCCGAAGTTTGACTTCCTTGCACTACGTTTTGCAAAACATCTGCTATTTTGAACTCCTTGCTTTTAACTGAGAAATCCTCAAACTTTTGTTATATAAACATTGGGAAATTCTCTTTTAATTCTATGTTTTTCTTAATGGAAGGATATTCTCTTAGAAAATACAACTCTATTTCCTCTAAGTAAAAGGAAATTTACTGTACTTCTTTTACTTCTGCTATTTTTAACTTTGCCTTTTCAACAATTTCTCTTAATTATATTATATTTTAATACATTATGATACTGATGTATTCAACAAATCTGTTACAAATCTGCCAAATAGTCAACAGATGGTTTTCCTTTATTTAATTATGTTAGAAAGAAGCAATGTTGGCAAGGTTACATTATTAAAAGGGTTGCTTTTGTATGATGTCACTAACTCCTAGTGTGCTCACAATCAACATCTTTCTTATTCCCTTCATGTTTTTATTTCTTCCACTCCTATAAATTATTGACATCAGCAATGAGAAGAGCGTAAATTTTGAAAACTAGGATTCCGGTACATTGCAGCTAGGGTTTGAATTTGAAGGCATTCAGAAGCAGATTTCAGAGAGATGCATTGAAGCGGGGACAGAAAAAGTAATATTATATCAATAATTATACTCTAATTTTAACTACATGTACTGTTTAGAAAATCTTTCTTCTTCAAAATCATTACGTCATAACTTCAATAAATCAGATGTGTATCAATACATTGACAGTTCAGAAATTCCTAAAATAATAATAAATGAAATATTTAATTAGCTATTTTATCAGAATAAATTTTTTCTTACCGATATTTTAGTGAAAACATAAAGTAAAAGAGCTAAGACAGATAAGTAGATACGTATTCTCTGACCACCAAAACGCTTCCTCAGATATTCGGGCATCGTATAAACCTGAAGAAAAATGCAGATGTTTCAAAATGTATTTCAAATATTAATCGTTTTAATAAGTTATTATGACGTACGACAATTGAAACTCACCCCAGATGCCATGTAGACAGGGACGAAGAACCATCCTAATATCAACACTACAAACATAGCCTACGAATCACCAAATAAAACATCATTAATTTGAAAAAAATTCAAAAACATTTTCTTTACTTACAGAAAATTTCTATAATGATTTTTTTCAACTCTTATACAAAGTTAAAAATAATTATTTTATATGCTTTAGCTGATCATGTCAATTAAAAGTATATACATAAAAAAAGGATTATTTCGGATTTTTTAATTTCAAAATTGAAAGAAATCTAGTATGTTAACATATAATTTAATATGAAAAGATTGTTAAAAGTTACATTAGGGTCCTTCTGTATTAAAAAAGGTGTCAATATTATTTTAACATGAAACTGCTTTAATATGTCAATCAGTTCCTAGCCAGATAATCAATTCGCTTCATTGCCAAGATCTTTCCCTCAGGGACTACTTAAATGGACTTATGTCCATTACTTAATTTAATTGTTCGTGTTAGAAACATTTGAGCAAAGTAAATTTCTTGGGTGACCTAATTTCCCCTATAACAAGTGAAACTATAATTAACAAAAGTAAATTATTACTTATTATCAATTCAATATCATTATAACAGCAAATTTTATTCAGCTCATTAGGAATTTAAAACGAAGCATAATAAAGCACAAACATTAAGTTATTTGCAATTACTGAAGCAAACAAATAAAATCCTAGAAATAATAGTTAGTTAATTAAGGAAAAGAATTGAAAGATTTCAGATTTACTATGACTTTAGTTTCTGCTTCTTTTTGCAATTACTCTGATTCATCGAAAGCAGAAACAGTATACAAAAGAACTCTTCAGAATGTCTCCAATACTTATCTGACATGAGAATTAGAAGTTTCGAGAATAACCTATTCATTATGGAAGTTAGCTGTTTTATTCAGAAAGAATAGTCTGACGTCACTTAAGTTAAAAATCTTCCTTAAGCTTGGAACATTCGTGCTTTGTCTACATCTAGAACGTACAAAAATTTCTTCAGTTAATCAGCTGCAGATCTGATTCAAAGATATTAATTCGTACTGCAATTATTAGGTCATACTTACTTACCACCAGCTGAGTTACTATATCGCCTGTTATATGACTATCAGTATTAGTACTCAATTGGTGGAGTATTCTATTATAACTAGGCCTATCTAAAAATCTCTATAGGATACTAACATTTGTAAAATCCTTCATATTGAAGGAATTTCCCTGATTTAAAAATTTTCCAGATTTCTAAATTTTACCGACTGTCATTACGTTTCTTTAAATTTGTCATTTTCATCATGTGCTTACTTTAAAAATGAAACAAATACCTAAAAGTTTTTTTTCGCCTCATTTCACAGCTTAATGAATATTTTACATTATTTGACTAGATTTCCTTAATGTCTACATACTACATTTTAAAATTATTGATATTTCTTGCAAGGTTTCCTTAATATTTGGAAATAGGGTAAAATATTCCTCTATATCTGCTGTTAATGCAAGTGCAGATCAGCTGCACTATTGTTTTTCAATAGCTCTGAATTTCTCTGCTGTTCAACAGATACTCTGCGTATTCTCTAGATTAATTTGTTATATTAGAAACGTTTTGACACTTTATTGAAGTTTTGACTTTGCATTTTCTTTTTAAATGTGCTTTTGCTGATCACAATTTGGAGATCGTAAAGCAGATTTTGTTAAATTTTGATCATACTTCTTGCACATATACAAAACACATAAAGTTGTATGTAAACTAAATGTTTTATAGAACATTTCTAGAATCAATTTTAAATTCTTCATAACTTACGTTAAGTTCAAATCCTGCTATTCCTATTCCAGTACTGGCGCCTGACCCTGATAAACCTATAAAATGTCCACTACCGATGTTGCTGGCAAATAAAGAAGCTCCAACCTATTAAAAGAAAAAATTATATAATTTCTGTAATTCATTAAAAAATCATAGTTTGAAAAATAATGTATGCGGTACAAATAATGCCTTTCTGAAAATAATATCTATTGAAAAATCATGTCCTGCTGACAGCAAGGGTAACTGTATGCACTCTTTCAATTTTTAATGGATCTACTTTTTTAAAATCTTAATTTTTCTTTACAGAAGTTTATTTTCTTTGAGAAGAAGAATGAAAACTCTAGAAATTGCAGATAATATTAAAATAAATTAGATGCCAATTTAGTATTAAACACTGCTTACAGCTTAGAAACGAAATAAATTTTAAATTATTAATTTAGGATTTTTATTAAGTAAAAATTTAAGTAAATGATATGGGTTTTAGTTTTAATATAGCTAGATAGTACATTAAAGCCGCTGCATTAAGAAAGTTGAATGCTGTCAGCAATTCGGAAGGTATCCGACTGAAAAATGTTTCCATAACTACCATAACTTCCATAACTACTTCCACAGGGTTTTAAACTAAACTGAAAAAAAAACCCACTTAGTTTGGCATATATTTTGAATAAATTTCTGTCCATTTTGAAGAGCGATAAGCCACCTATTCTCCTTCTTCAGGAACAAAAGATTTCAGCTAAAAAAAAAAAATCATCCTGCAACAGCGGGATATACATCTGATTTCCCTCAAATCATTAGAATTGAATTCAAAGTCTTAGCCAATTTAACCCTTTGCATTGCGGGCCTTTTTCCCTGGGGCGATACAGCAATTCGAGACGATTTTCCGTATATTTGGTGGATTTCTTACAGCTAACGTAAAATGATTTCACAGAGATCTAATGGTTCTTTTATATCTGAAGATACTTATGGCTAGACAAGTAATCTATACGTTGACGAAATTTTATTCTTCATCAACGAAAAATCGAACTCATCTTCACTTGAACTGATTCCTCCATTGTATTCCATGCTTATTGGGTCCACAGCTTTGAAAATAATATTCCTCTTGCCACGATTATTGAGTTAGGACTAACGTTGAAGACGCATACGTAACAATAACTCTACAAAGCATATTTAAGATTATAGATTGGCAGTTGATTTATACCCATATTGTTGAATATATATATGAAGTGATATTACCCAAACCAATTCTAAATAAACAATGCTACCACTCGAATTATCTCGTGACCAGAGTCAACTCTCGAGTTACCGGATTCAAGTGGTGACCTAGAGAAAATAAAAAAATATACTTCTCCCTGGCTTAAAAACTATCTAACTGTAATTAGCGTTATAATCTTTAATTTGATCTAAAATTTTCTGAGATTTAACTTCTGCCATTTTAAATGTTTACAACAAACCTTCTGAGGAAGGAATATTTATTGCAAATCGTAAAAAGCCAGTAAGTTATTAACTAATTTTTAAAAAATAATAAACCTGTCCCTAAGGTAAGGAAGCTCCGATGGTTAAGATGGGGAGAGGGGGTTCATATGTCTGCAATAGCAAACGTTTCCTTGCTACTTTTATGCTACGCATTTCTCGCTTCATTTTGTGCTACGAAATAGCAGGACACTTTCTTTATTTTCTTACTTCTTTTCTGCGGTTTTGCAAATTGCCTAGTTTAAGATCTATTGCCAGTTTCAGCAGTTTAAGATAATTCAGTTCAACAACAATATCGCAAAATAATTTTAAAAGGAGCATATCTTTAGAATTTCCGATACAGAGTCTCGCGCGTTGGAGATAAAAATTTTTTTTTCTTACATTGTTGCCATTGCTCGCTTAGAAATCGTTTATTTTTTTGATCAAAAATTCGTTGAAGTGTTTCAAAATATGAAATCGATAATAAAACAAATTTCAAATTTAAATTAGGGCTTCCACATGCCCATATTCTATGGAAGATTACGTTATTCAAATTTGTCTGGCTCTAGGTACCGTTGTGTTATCACAATGCGAGAAACTTATATACCTTCATATAGATTCTTCATCATTTAATTTCTTTAAATATAATACAGGGCGATAATATTTGGTGGCAACAATTTGAAAAGTGATTCGCCCTTTATAGTTTTCACCGCGAAATCCAAAATGAAATTAATAATCCTTCAGGGCAAATTTGGACTAAAAATTCTGAAAGGGTTCAGATTTTAACGGTCGCCCAAAAGAGCTCTTTTAAAATTTAATACGGTTTATCAGTAAGATTATTATTAATAATACAGTTGGTCCAGGTGAAATAGCGAACCATTTTAAAGAATACTAAATGAATAGATATTTATACAGTCGTATTTCCTCGCCTGCGTTAGGTTCTTAAATTTTTAAAGTATATTCAAGTAAATTTCTTCTTCCTCGATATATTCTGAGACCAAATTGCTCTGAATTCTAAAATTTATTCGCCGGTTTAGTGACTGGTTTCGTCTCTCTAACAAAGACAAACCCTCGCAAACTATTTGCGCAATACGCACTGAACCTTTTCCTTCTAACTGTTGAAATTTATACCAGAGCCTAATACAAGAAACGACCCATCACAGCGAAACAAACATGCATTGACATTCAGTATACAATTTCGCTGAGTCGGCTGCATATTCACGTTCAACCTTCTCTAAATCTGTACGGATGATATGAGGCTTAGAGACTAATCCTTAGGTTTCAAATAATCCATAAATAAATTTAAAAACAATAAGAACGGCCGAGATTCGAGTTACAGTGAAATAGATATGAAGATATTTTATTTTATATTGTAATATTACTGTATATTAGTATTGGAATGTAGATTTCTTTTTTAAGAAATAATATCGTGATATTTACATGTACACTCATGTCCATAAATTAAGGATAATTCGGAGTCACGCGGAAATCGAACTCTAAAATAAATATATCACCTGTAAAATCACTACACACATCTTCAAGAATCATATGCAAATTTCAGGAAGTAACCAGATGACACCGATGGTACGTCACAATGACAAGAGTGTAAGAGAGAGATATATAAGGAATACAGGCAAAGAAGTAAAATTGTTCGCAGGCACTTTATAAGCATTTCAGTGCAATAACCGAATAGTTATGACATAAAGGGCGCATTTGGATGTTTTTTTACGTGGTAGAATTATCGGCCGTCTGGAATGTGGGCGTACCCAACTGGAAGTATCAGACAAACTTGGAATTGCCCAGAGTGTCATCTCCAGGCTTTGGAAACGATTTCAAGATGATGGTAATGTGAGTAGACGTTACAGCACAGGTCGCCCTAGAGTTACAACGCCGAATGAGGACCGGTATTTGGCAGTTACTGCCAAAATAAACAAGCGGAGCACAGCCTCAGACCTGTCTTGTCAGCTCTCTTCAGCCACTGGTACGACAATTTCAAGGCAGACCGTGTACAGACGCTTAGGACAGATTGGTCTATATGCTCGTAGACCTGTCAGATGCGTTCCACTTGCTGCAACTCACTGTCGCCTCCGGTTAGCCTGGAGTAAAGAGCATGCATTATGGACACCGCAACAGTGGGCTTGTGTGATGTTTTCCGACGAGTCCAGGTTTAGCTTGCAGTCTGATTCTCGCCGGACTTTCATATGGAGAGCTCCAGGTACCCATTACCACCAAGAAAACATCATTGAACGACACCGTTACGGTGGTGCAGGAGTGCTCGTTTGGGGTGGAATTATTCTGGGTTACAGAACTGACCTGCATGTTCAGATTGGAACCATGACAAGCCAAATCTATCGGGACGTCATTCTGGAACATCACGTACGTTTGTTTCGGGGCGCCATGGGCGCACAATTTGTGTTTAAGAATGACAACGCCCATCCTCACCGTGCAAACATCGTAAGCGAATGTCTTCAATCGGAGGCTATCACCCATATGGACTGGCCAGCATTCTCCTCGGACTTGAATCCAGTAGAGTACGTGTGGGACATGCTTGGCCGACGAGTTGCAGCACGTCAACCTCCTCCTACATGTCTACCGGAACTTCGGAGAGCATTGCTTTTTGAGTGGTGTAATATCCCCCAAGATCAGATCGATAATTTGATACTCAGCATGCCTAGGCGTTGTACGGACTGTATTGCATCGTTTGGGATACATACAATGTGTTAACAATCATACCAACCATGTAATATTGGTTTTTTGTAAATAGGTTTTTTTTTTTTTTTTTTTTTTTTTTTTTTTAATTTGCTCCGGGGAGAAAAAATCGCTAATTGTTTTAATAATATCAAACATATAGCATCTTTTTTTTATCTTTACCTTTTGTTTAATAATAAATAAGCTTTACAAATAAGTCAAATTTGTTTTGCTTCTAACTCTTCCTTTGCCTGATTTTGCATTATCCTTAATTTATGAACATGAGTGTAGTTTATTCATAAGTCCGTTTCATTCGCACTTTTTTTACTGTGACCACATCCCTCAGAATTGAAACTGTTCGCATAATTTTCCAATTCTCGAGTTTTGGAGGATAAAATTAATAAAAGTAAGCAGAAAATACGTAAAGAAATACGGTAACATGGGAATGATATGGTCTTCTGTATATCTGAAATGTGAAAATGTATATAATTTATTCCCCAGACGATTCTTCTTCTCAAACGAATAACAAACCGGGTTGTTGCCACCGAATTCTATTAAACTACAGTTTAATTATTTAAACTTGATCTAATTTGTAGTTTGGTGAAATTCAGAGGTAGAAATAGATGCTGCATAAAAGTATTAATATAAAAGTTGTGCGTTACCTTAAACTAATGTATTGCATGATCTTGAGCCAAATTCAGATTGTATTTACAATTCAATAGTTTTCTAACAGAGGGTTGAATAGACCTGAAATTTCTCATTATATCTCATGAGTAAACGAAATTAATTTAGTTTACAATAATTAATATTTTATCACCTTATGAATTTTCTAGATTCTAAGTCGGGAAACTAGTTTATCTGCAATTTGTTTTTTCTTTTACTTTTTTTAATCTATTCCAGAATCTTCTGTACTCACTTTTTCACGTCAATAATAAATAATCGGAAATGAAAGGACATTTTCCGGAGTATTCGGAAATGATAAAGAAACACAATTGATCCCCCTTTTGAAGTTTGCGATAGTATATATAGCTTTTAATGAAAATTTTATTTCCTTTAGATATTATACTCAGCTGTGTAAATACTCAGCTCATTATTCGAACTAAAGTTATTACGCAGAAAAGAAAGATTACTAAAAGAATAGTACTTCAAATGATAATTTGTGAAATACGTAAAGCATGCCTTCATTATACTAAATCAAATACATAGTCTTAGAAATTATGCATTAAACGCAATTAAAATGCATTTTAAATTTAGTTCAACGTAATACAGTTTCGATTTCGAAGAAAAAAATAACTGCTGGTCTTATCTTAAAATAAAAACCTATAACATCTGATTATAATAATATAGATGTATCCTAATCTGGTAAATCCAAAATCAAATTTATCTAACTTTTAAAAATAAATGTCATTTATGTTCTTAAATTTCATTATCTTATTTATTTTAAATTCTGGTTACCTCCTTCCTCTTTTTATTCCCAGGCCTTTGAAAATCGTAATGCAATACCGAATTCAAATAAATTGATTATTCGATTGACTGTAAATGAAGTCTATCATTGCAGTGTATTAGCCTGATCGTATAATGAGAATAATACATATTTGTTACATTCCTTGAATTTGATTTCTCGGAAATATTCTTCGTGATAGCCTATATTTATATCATTTATATACACATGAATAACGTTGAATAAAACTCCTGTTATTATTATTCTGGTTCTACCGTTTTATCAGACAAATTCTACATTGCTAATAAAATAAAAAATTAATCGTTCACAATTGTACGAGGAAATATCATCTCACCTTTTACCTTTTCCTTCTAAGCCCAAACGGCTATTAGTCTCGTAACACGATTCTGTTTTGTCTCACGTTTCATTCGAATCTGTTGCCTTTCGGCAAAATGTAAGATATTTATCTTCCAAATTTAATCTATCTGTTATTGATTATCAAACAAAGTTATATAAAAACTATAGATGCAGTCCTTAAAAATGTTATTTTTTACTTCTTAATCTGATTAATTAAATTCAAATTCAAATTTATTTAATTCATTGTATATTTAATCAAAAACATTCAATATTTTTATAGGATTATGTTGTATAATTTTTCACTTTTCAGATATACCTACTACAAAAGCTGTATAACTCTCCCATGCTATCCTAAATATATATTCGGCAAACATTTTCTAAAAGTTTCGGTGTTTCACCTATATAATCTCAATCGATAATATCTTATTTTATTACTTATTATTTCTTTAATACTATGCAGCTTATACTCTGTTACTTATTAAATTATAAGTAATGTTGTACAAATATACACTGGCGGACAAAATTAAGGGATGAAAAACACTTTTCCACGTTTCTCCTAAAATACCACATAAAACCTGGACAGTTGGTTGCCATATAATGTCCCTGCGGCACTGATGTCGTTAAGATGAGTTTACGCATTCCTGTGGGAATATATGTCATCAGGAGGTATAAAAGTCCGAGTCCAGCTGCTAAGCTTATTCCGCTCTGCAACACAGTAGTGAGTTTTGTTGCCTTTCTTGAATAATCTTGCTGTTTTTTTCTGTTTTTGAGGTGAAGGAAATCGTGGGTAGGCTTGAGGCAAGTCGGTCCCAAGTCAAGGTTGCAAGAGAACTGGATGTAACATCAATTGTCATATCTAATTTATGGAATTAGTTTAAAAACAGAGGGTAGTCCCCAGAAAATCAGGAAAAGGTCTCCTAAGAGCCACAACAAACAATGACGACCGGTATTTGATACTTTCAGCCAAGCGCTAGAGGATGTCTGTTCAGACATTCTCTCCTCCACCACCATATTGTTGTTCCCTTTCCATGATGTTGCTGAGATGGTATCGGTTCCCAGGTTACCTCTGTATCAATAATCGCCGAGAATCAGGTTGTAGACTGAATTTGGACTCATCCATGAAGAAAACATTAGCCCATTGAAGATGTGTGCAGTGTTGGAGTTGTTCGCATCATTGTAAACGCTCTCTTTTGTGGAAGGGAGTGAGTGGATATCGAGCATGCAATCCTGTCTCATGGCAACTGTCTTCCTTTCAAACTGATGTTTCTGTGGCAGTAGCGAGGTCATGAGACAGTTCCGTGGCTGTAGGAGAAGATCATGCGTGATACCCACTCCATGTGTTCGACACTGATTCCGTGAATGCCCAGAGGTACAGGAAGGAGGTCCTACAGCCCTATGTGCAACTTTTCAGGGGTGCTTTTGGCCATTTTCAATTTCATGTTGATTTTTATGGACGACAATGCGAGACCACATAGGGCGCACCCGACTAATGACTATCTGGAAAGCGAGGATATTCACCAAATGGATTGACCAGCCAAATCTCAAGACCTTAATCCTATTGAACATGCTTGAGATGCTCTTGGGAGGGCCATTGAAATACGCAAACCCCCACACAGAACCATTCAGGAGTTAAACACTGCTGTGGGTGCGACTTCCACAGGTACTCCTGAACTCTCTTGTTAACAGCATGACTACTCGTTATGCTTGCTGTTTCTCTGTCTGGGAAGGCGACACACCATACTAGCCACATAGTCACTCCCATCTTTCAACCTCAAGTTTGGACTACATTGGACTCTTGTCCACAACTCATGCTAATGAATGACGTTTTCATTGTTGTTTTGTACACATTATTGCCATACAATAGACTATATCCATACTTTCTATCTAGCATTTCTCCAGCTATTTGGGGCAAGTTGCTGCATCTCCTAATTTTGTCCACTAGTGTTCTTAATATGCGTATTAAATTTCGAGCGACAGTTTATTTTGAGGCTAATGATGAGTGATTTTTAAATGTTTACCAGTGTATTTGAAGCAGCAAAAATATTCCTTAATTTAAATAACCTATTTAAGCATTTTTAAGTAAAAGATTACGTTTATTCTTTTTTCTAAGCATAAAATCATGTGTTAAAGTGTTGTAACAGGCTTACCGGTATCCAGTGCATACTCCGACTGGCTAAGAAGTACCCACTGACACTGTTCCGTTTGCTTCGATACGAAGACTGAAAATAGTAATAAGAGTAACAGTAAGTAATAATAACAGTAACTTAATTATGCCTTACGTTACATGCACAGAACATTTATAATATTAATAACACATCGTAAAAAAGGAAATTACTAGTGTTAAAGTTACATTTACTTAAAAAAGTTGACTTTTGTAATACCTTGTAAAAAATGCTTTTGAATTATATAGTGCATCTATGAAGTTTTAGGATTCAAAGTTTTTAACCAATTCAAGGAAAGCCGTTACATGGTATAGTTATTTGCATATTTCAACTTGTTTTCATTAAAAGATAGTCGTTTATGAAACGCAGTTTGAAAGGAATTTTTGGTTTGATGTTATCTATACCTGCCATTATGGAATCATTGATTGATCGCAACAAGTTAGAGAATTCCCTTCAAACATTGGCACTATCATTGCAACATATTATAAGTACAAGCGATTTGTTCTAAATCCTTCTCTTTACCGGAGAGATTTGGTTCCTGCAGCTAGAATTATAAACATCTTACGTTAGTCAGCGATTTAAAGTAGTTTCCCTACTATAAACAGATTATTATTATTTACGTGGTCCGCCCTAAGGCACTACACGGAAGGGACGGATGACTTCGTGGAAGACTTTCTAAGGAAAACTAGCTCGTATTAACACTTTTTTTTACACATGGGGAAAACTACGAAAACACCCATGCAGCCAGCTCGTTCGCGGGAATCGAGCCTCGGACCGAACTACCAGTATTCATGGTCTTTTACCGCTCGGCCACTGGTGGGCCTCTATAAACAGATTGGCGCTCAGTTTTGCTTAGATCTTAGTTTAACTTTCTACCGAAAAAGAAACTGTTTGCTATCTTCTTCATGACATAATACGTAATGCTCAGATGTGCTATGTTCAGAATAGAAAATTTAATTTTAGCAGTCCAATTCAATTTTATTCATACCTTTCAATTTTATTCACAAATGCATGACTCCCATCAGGTTTATTCACGTAGATTTTATTTATATCAGCAGAAGATTTTTCAAATATAGTTTATTTATACAGGCATCGCTCCTCGTACCATAAATGTCATCAGGAACATCCAATGAACTGCCAAATGTACAGCAACTTACTTCCTTGTACGAAGTAAAGGAAGTACTGGTAATCGCGAAAAATTTTGGGTATCAAATTTCAACTAAAACATTCATTTTGACCTCTATCGAATGCAGTTTAACGATGTTTTTTGCCTGACATCTGTACGTAAGGACAGAATAAAGGATCAGAAGAGATTTTTTTCTTGACGTCTGTACGTACGAATGTACGCTCGTATCCCGCATAACTCAAAAACGAGTAGCCTTAAAACGCTTTTTGTTTGTGGATTTGCTATAACATCTAGTTGTGCACTTCCCTTTTTGGTTGCAAGCGGTCGCACAAAACTTATATATATGTACCCACTCATCCCAGTGAGCTCAGTTCTTTTACTTTTATATGTTGGTAAATTGTGCATTTTTTCTTTAAAAGTGTTTAAATTATGTTATTCTTTTGTTCTGGTTAAGGTTTTGTGCCTTTAGTTGATTTGGATGTAATAGTTATAGAATTATAAACAGTTTGAAAGTTGTTTAAATGGTACTGAGCCTAACGAGGCCGCCCATAATTTACATTTGGAACTCTTAATAGAATAATGAATTAAGTCAGTCGGTGCACCGACTTTAGTGGTTGTTTTTGCTGAGTGGAATCAATGGTACATTTTCAATCTTGTGGACCGGAAAGTCTATCTTACTGTCTGCTGCCTAATTGCTTGTTTTTGCGTAGAAACTTTAATTGTAATTTTTTAAACTTGTTTTAAGTATATTTGGGGTTTTAGATTTTTCTGTAATTTACATTTTTTAATGAATATACTTTGAGTTTTTACGTATTTTTGCCTTGCGGAGAAGTGAAAACTGATTTTATTGAATTAGAAGCATATATATGATAAAATTCGAAGAAATAAATTTAAATAAACTGCAACAAAAAGTGTGTACAATTTAATAGGACGAACAAGGAGGACATATGGTGTTCGTAGATGAATTTAGAGCATTAGAAAGAGCTGTTAATAGAATAACATGATTCTTAAATGCAAATTTGATTGGGAATGGGAGGGAATACATATTTCACCATAATATTGCATCCTTTCACCGTGCTGTGCGGAACAAAAGCAACGGCTTCTGCAGTAAAGTATTGAAATTATATGTATCTGTTCGTTCTGGTTGACCTTGAGCTTCTTGTTTAATAAATGTGATATCTAATCCACTACCATTTAGCTGGATGGGGCAATACATTTTGACTATTCTTTAAAAGAAGACTTTGCATAATTAAAACACGAGGGAATATATTTTGTGAAACCTTTGGACAGCTGTTTGAATCTATGCCAGATTGCATTTTTGAACTCACATGAAAGAGAGAGAAAAATTCTTAATTTCTATACCTATTATTTTTGTTACATAATTTCTGTTTATATAAATAGTGATTTGTAATTACATTGGCACTATTTCGTATTTATTCCGCATGATCTTATGTGAAGGTAAAAATTTATAAATATTGTAACAATATCTTTTTTTCTATTGCAATACTAACTCGTTCCTTTACTTAAATATTTATTCTAATCTTACAATTTGTACTAATTTAAAGGTTTTTATTTTTTATTATTTTTAATACCATATTAATTGATATAATTATCTTCAATAAAATGTTCTATTATTTTTAAATTCTGAAAATTTTAGAACTTCCCGAACTTTTGTTTCAAAAGTTAAGAGCAATCTAGAGAGAATAATCCGTATATTCAGAAGAAATATAAATTTATAGAATCTTTTACATTTAGAGAGCACAAAAATTGGAAAAGAAAATTCCTTCTTTACTGCAATTAAAGCAGTGCTCTCAAACTAAAACTGCATGTGGGCCAAATGTACGATCTGAAAGCAGTTGACAGGCCGGATATTCATTTTATCAAAGTGAAAAAATTATGAAGAAAATAAAAAATGTTTTCATTAAATTTTAAATTTTGCTTTCTAAATATTTTATTATATATATTATCAAAATATACATAAACAATAATCATAATAATTAAAACAATAAAAATTCAAATTTATGTTTATTTTATATTAGAAATCTAGAATTTGGTGCCTGCAAGACATTTTCTTTAGTTATACTTTGTGACTGAAAGGTACTGACAGATAAATATTAAATTTACAGATTGATATTTATTTCAAATAATTCTAATATATTTAATTAATCATTAAATAAAATACATTACATAAAATTTTTAAGTCATATAAAACTTTTTTATTTTTTAATGCATCTGATATTGGTTGGTTATTAAAAAGCTTATATCTCGATTAAAATCGCTGGCTGATAAATTAAAAAAGTTTATTTTATGGATTTCCTAAAAATTAATGAAATGGGAGATAATTTAAATCGTTGCTATTTAAAATATAATAATAAGAGAGAGATTATGAGAAATTTGCGATTGCTCTGATGTCTGAAAAATGCTTTAATTGCTAGTACCGGTGAGAAACTGCTGGAAGTAATCATCGTAAAAAGTTAACACGGAAACCACTAAGTCTTAAAGTACTACAGGAAAGTCAGGGGAAGGGTGTAAAGAACTCTTTATTAACTCAAATCTGGTCCACAGACGGCTCAACTCGTGCTTATAAAAGCCAACACTTCTAGTTTAATTCAAAAAGTAGTGAATAATTTAAAATTAATTGAAGTTAAGTTTAGTCTAATGGCTTCACAGGTTAACTATCGCTCAAACTGACTCTGATTCAAAAAGTAGGCGTAAACAAGCTTAATGTCAAGAAATATAAAATAACTGTTAAGCAAATCCCTACATAGTCAAGCTAAAATAATAAGATAACTGTATTAATTAACCCCAAACCTTACACCAATGCTTTACAGTTTTCTGTCTTTTACTATTGATTCTATATTTTACTCTTTTTCCAAAATGACACTGACATCTCTAGAAATCAATATATCATTGCTTGACTAATTTTAGCAGCATAATTTGCTTCTAGTATGAAATTTTTCTGTCCAAATGGACTTTTTTATTGGTAAGCTCATTCATGAGATAATGAATCGTAAATCTTAGGCTTGCAACTTAGTTTGAGTGCATTATTTAGAAAGGTTAAAGGTGTACGCATGAATGTTATGTTTTAGAATGAAGCGAAAATTTATTTAATTATGCTTTTATAAGGTGGAATCTGGAGGAGTATATTAGTACATAATCCCTTCCCCCACCTATCCCAAAGACAGATGCGTGTCCTGAATATTTGAAGCTTTATTGTTTAAAGACTTTTATCAGTGTAGAGTTGAATTGTAGACCGACAACAGCTGACCCCACTGATTAAAAATTACAGGTATGATAGCAAAATATGCTATCGTAATTTTTATCTAGGAATTCCATTTTCAAAGAAAGATTTCAAAATTGCTATCGAAAGAATTGAAACTCTGTGTATAGAATTCGTGACGTGAAACTAGTTGCCTCTTTCGTAATCTTATCCTCAACTTACCAAACACTTTTTTTATCTCGGAAAATCTTCTTAATCATATTACTATTGTTGATAAATTTCAGTTTTTTTATCAGAAATCGGTCTAAGTAATTATGAAAGCATGCAAGAATATCCTTAAGTGACAGAAAATTCGTATTACTCTCCAAATGTTGAAATACCCTACATTAGGGCGTTAACACGAACTTATAATTTCTAACTGCATTTTTTTATTTTTAGGTATATTCGCCGTATAACGCGCTTTCTTTGTTTTAAGAATAAACGTAAAAGGTACATGTGGGATTCTCTTATCTTTTGAAGTCATTCATTCAAAATTTCTCCCGGACTTTAGAACAATGATATACGGAACTTATACACAATAAGGGGAACAATACATGTGGGGAAGAAACACTTGAGAGAATAAATAATTCCGCAAAGAGGATAGGTTATATTCAGTGCACATAAGCACAAGGATGTTATTCGAGGACTTCGAGAAAAGGGGAAATATTATTT